AGTCGGACGCAGCAATCAATTGTTTAAAGTACTTTATAATATAAATAAATGTCCGACTTATCGAGTTTAGATGTGTATGTACTATATTTCTTTAAAATTTTTGGTAATCAATTATAAATAATGCGATATAAGTTAAAATTTAAAGATGTGAGACGATTCATCATAGAAAAGTGGAATCCAACTCCTGATTTATTTCTAATTAATTTACTTTGATAAAAAAATCAAGATGTCATCCTGTGAAAGTATTTCGTATTAAAATATATTCAATAAAAGTTCTGCCCTTAACCTATCGAATGGAATATTTTTTATATGAATTAATGTAGTGGTCGTTACATGATAATTAATTTTGATTTTTCCGGTTTTTTTACAACACTGTATATTAAAAATTCACTAAAAAATATGGCCTTTTTTTTATAAAAGGACAATCATATCCCTAAAATGTAACGTGCATACGCAAAGTTATTATGTAGTAGTAGGTTATTATTACTATTATTTACAGCATACCTATTCCGTACCTTTTATTATTTCACATATCGTCTATTAATTTGAACTTGTATTGGTATGATAATATGCAATGATATTTTTCACATTACTGAAGAAAAGTCCGACATTCGAGCTACAATAAATCAATTTTTATTATCAATGGGTTATTTTATGTGAATTATTTTTGTCATAATTAAATTGCTGAAGGTATTGCAATTATTAAATATCCACAATTTTTTAAAGATCTGTTTGTTATAAATATCAATCCTGTCAATAACACTATTATTTGCTAGATGTCTTGCTACAGCAGATACAAATGTTTTAATTGATATTGACGAATAGTCACTTCCATCATCTCTTTTCATTTTAATTATATAATTAATTAGTTGCCTTTCTAGATCATTAATATTATCAATATTTTCTATTTTACAATTACAATTACAATCCTTTCTAAAATTTTCTAAATGGTTAATCCAATTTTTTGTTGAGTTGACTGTTCCTTTTCTCTTGGATTTATTTAAAAAGTATTCAAATTCACTGTCACTAGGTTCGGAATATATAAACGTCTAACAAAAGAAAAAAATAAAAAAAAAAAAAATATGTGCACTAATACAATTTAAGGCAAAAAAATATGTATGTGTTTTACGAACTTTTCCAGCTTTACCCATATTACTGTTATTACCTTTAAACTAATTAGAATAAATTGTAAAATAGTTTTAATAACATTATACATATATTATGCGCTATAATTATGTATAACATGTTACTGTTTTCCTGATGTAGACCTTCCATGCATTTTAGATTTTTTACAAAGTGAATTAGATATGGATAAAATATGCGAGTTTTTTCTTCATT